CGTGTCCACTACCTCTAAGTCATGGTGTTGGGGGTACAAGTATTTTGAAAATCTCTGGTATTGAACACCAGTGCTCAGAAGCAGAGCCGGGAAACCGAGGTAGAGCGAGCGGGCCTCTCAGCAACTACGAAGACAATACAAGACCTCAGACAGAACATTTTGCTCCCAGCCACTCTTCTCAGAACGATGACAGTAACGCTTCATCTAACGTCTAGGCAGGAAGGTAACACCAAAACACCACCGTTGTAAGCCCAATGGAACCCCACGCAGAACAAAAAGAACTGCCTCCTAAAAGCTCCCCACTCAGAAGGAAACATGTTGCCCTGAGCTCTCTGCACGAAGCGCAGCTGAGGAGTGTGGAACAGACGCCTGGCTCAGAGGCTGTGCAACCTCAGCTCGTCACTGAGTGGCCACGGCCTGTTTCCTCATGAAGAGGGGCTGGGACTCTGGGGATTCTGCATTTGTCACCAGAAGACAACTGACCTGAAGGTTTGACATATAAAAACTAGTTTGGGAGGGTGAGCAAAGATTTCTTCCTGTCACCTTCCCTGGATCCCACACTCCAGAGCCTCCTACAGCACCTCCCCTCCAAGGATCCAGCCACTAAAGCCACCAGTGTCTGCAAATGAAGCCACTGTCCCTAGAGTGAGACGGTGACCGATGAATCCAATTCACTATCCCCAGATGGCCTGCTCCACGATGCCACAGAAGGGCTGACAGGTGGGAAGGAACGATTACAGCAGGAAGCTTTCGGGGAAGAGCCTTGTGGAGATCCAGGTTTCCCTAACAGTACCCACTGAGCTGAGGGTTCACGTGGTTCTCACTCAGGGCAGCCAAATGTTCCAACTGAAACCATTATTATTTTATAGCCAAGATATGTTTGTGTCCTGGGCTTGCAGCATCGAGTAAGAAACAATAGTGTGGGCAGTTCCTCATGCACTTAGCCCACAACACCCCAAGAAAGAAACTGCAGGAGCCTCAGTGCATCCCCCAGATAGCTCTGTCATCGGTTCTGAGTCCCACCTGCCCGCCCCCAGCCGCCACCCTGCAGAGCGAACGCTGCCTCCTTCCTGCAGACACACGCGGCTCTGCTGTCGTTTCTTCCATTGCTCTTCCTCTGTGTCTAGCCCTGTGCTCCACGGTCTAACGGGAAACCATCCCGCCTCCTCGGAACCTGCTCGGTGTCAGACAGGAACGATCCTCCCCACCTCACCCCCTTTTTTTCTTTGTTTCTCTTTTTTTTTTTTTTCTCTCCCTGACAGCAAGGCCCAAGGGAAGCAGAGGAACCACTTTATACTTGCATAGGGCTTCCTTTGATTTGCAAACCACCCACGTATCTATGATCTCATCCCGCCTCATAACAACCCAATGAGGTAATAAACGTGTTCCCCGCCACCCTCCAATGAGGCACACCTACCGCAGGGGCTCCTGTGGCAGCGGCCCAGTGACAGTGCCAGCCGCTAGGCTCAGGCGGCAACACCACCTCACGCCTTTCATTAGCCAGGCTGGGGATCAGAGGCTGGACCATTGATTCCAGGCCTCTGGGGACCTAGAGCGAGCTGGGAAGGTGGAACACAGTGCAGGATCCTTTACACCACATGCCAATATAGCCCTAATTGTTTACACCCTGACAACCACACATTTCCACGGGGGGTTAGCCACACCGACAGGAAGGGGGCCCGAAGTCCTGATCTCGTCTTCAGTTCTCTGCTAAGCCCTATACTCTGGGCTTTAGTTCTCTGGGCCTTTGTGTCGCCTTCCCCCTAATGAAGGCAGACTCGCCTTTTTTTTTTTTTTTTATAAAGACTAAACAATGGAATGTCAAGCTTCCAGATGAAAGGCTCCCTTACAAGAACAACGTATCATTTAATTACACTGCTCCAGTTATCTGCTTCCCAGCGCCCAACTCCCACTGGGCAGCTTCTGAAACCGCATAGGAGATTATGTGAGGGGGAGAACAGGAGAGACATTCTCTCCCTGAACTTTCTTAAACGGGAGACACAAACAAAACTAAGAGAAAGACCCATTTTCCAAGGAGGGGGCTGGGGCAATGATCTCTCCCTTAAGCAGACCTGCATAAGAATCTATAGATTATTTAACGCCGGGGGTGGCTGGGGAGCAAAAGAAAGGAATCTTTGTGCGATGCCAGCCACAGCTCCCTCAGTCCTTCCCCACAGCCAGGCATTTAACCCAACTCTTTAAATCATCGGGCTCTAATGCTCCCCATCTGTGCACTGGTTGTGGCCGATGAAACTGAAGCCTGTGCTGACTTTGGCCTGGATTTGTGAATGAGCCTTTCTGCCCCAAAAGGCGCAGGAAAGAGCACATGAGGCCAACAAAACCTCTCTCGCTCACACCTGTCTTCTCCCAAAGCTCAGGCTCCATCCATCCACTAATTCCTTCGATCCTTTGCTGAGCTCTTGCCATGGGTGGGATTCTGACCCAGAGATACGAAGTTAGTAGGAAAGGGCCCCAGGTGGAGAAGGGGGTGTAATGTGGGTGAGGGCTCCTGGGAGAGGGGAAGGTGCAAAAAAGGGGCTGCTCTTGGCTGAGGCCCAGCAGCCTGAAATTCCCATCTGCATACTCAGGGACTGCTGCTTAGTTCCAAGTGGTTGGTACATAAAGAAGGAACTGGCAGGAGACCTAACTCAAAAGGTAGGCTCTGCCAGGCCATCCAAGACTGTGCATACCAGGCCGGAGGTGAGACATAACTGTGGAGGCCACCACCGTCTCCCCACATTGGCTTCGGTCCGTCCTAGGGGGCCCACCTCTTCCAGCAATCCTTCTTGAACATGCTCAGAGTAACTGCTCTCTCTTCTCTGAGCCTCCGATTTGAGTTCTTGGACAACATTTATAACTCTCAACGTCTCCATCCATATAAAATATGACTAATGTCACCTCCTTTAAAGGCTTCTTATGAAGGTTAAGTGAGATAACAGTCAAAGTGTCAAGCAGCCGTTTTTGGTGCAGAGAAGGTGCTAAAACACATTTTACGGGCCCCTTGATTTCTTACAATATGGAGCACTTCTTCCTGGTATTAAAAAAATATCTTGGCTTCCCCTCTCTCTGGAGATTTTCAGAAATAGGACAACTCACATTTTCCCTCCAAGCTAGCAGGCATGCTTCCAAAGCAGAGAGGGCTGAGTCCCGTCTTCCCTCCCTGACACAGCCTCCCCACATCCAAACTTCCAGACTCATGGGGGTCCCGAAAGATCCAAGGCCTCTGAGACAAGATGGGTTAGGTGACAGGGGAGGAAGCTATAAGCTGGCCGAAACAGAAACAGCATCAAGGAGAGAAACTGGCAGGGACCTAGAAAAGGGAAAGTGGGCCGGACTCCAGGGCTCCAGGGTTCAAGCCTCTGCGGTCACCCTAGACCCTGGAACAGGCCTGGCAGGAGGAGGTCCGTCCCCGGTCCTGATTTAAGGATCCCCATACAGATGTGGTCGTTCGGGCAGCTTCCCCACTTCCTGCCAGACCGGCCAGCTGGACCGACTGGTCTAGAACTGCTGCTCCTTCATCCCTCTCTGGCTGGGGCTCCCAGGCCAGAGGCAGGGAAAGCGATGCCACCTTTTCTTACAGTTTTTTGGGTTTTTTAAACTTAGTCTGGGTCTGCATAAAGGTTTCTTTTTCTTTCTTTTTCCCCCTCGCTTTAATGGCACGTAGCACAGGTTCTGAGGAAGGAGGTTTTTTAAAGGCGAAAAGTCAGTCCCCTGTGGTCTATCTCTCCTTGTCATGCAGACTCTGGTAAAACCAGTTTCTCTGCCCCTGGGAACCGAGGGCCAGCAGGGAAGTCGCTCCCCTGAGAGCGCTGCCTGAAGGAGCCAGTTCCTGGATTGCACAAGGGAGATGTTGGGTTTATCTATTTATTAATAGCCCCCCCCGCCCCACTCTCACCCCTAACTTTAGGAAGCAGTTGCCAAGGCTCCTCTGAAAATAGGGTTCCATCTTCTCTTCTGATTGGGATCAAATGCCATGCCGTGTCTCCTCATGTAAAAGCTGTAAAGGTCCCCATAGGCCAGTGAGTCAGCTCTTCACCAAGTCACTCTGGTCTCCCCCCACCCCAAAGTCAACAGTCTCATGATCTTGGAAGGCAATGACCTCTCTCATCCCAGCTAAAACCCTGCTACAAGACATCCTGGCCCCACCAGCTTTCTTCGAACTCTCTTTCCAGGCAGGCAGCACTCTAGACGGTGTTCGTCTGCCAACCTAAGCCAAGCAAGCCAAGCGAAAGACTCCACTCCCTCCCCAGCCCCTCTCCCCAGCAGCCTGCCAGCCGCCATTCCCTGCCATTCCTTGCAGCCTCCAACAGGGATGACATCTAATTTCCAAAATAACAAACTAAGCTAGCATGCTCTCTCCCCAGCTCGGTTATTTCTCAGTTGCATGAAGACAGCCGTGAGGGTCAGCCCTCCCTGGATAGAAGATGGAGCCCCAGTACCCCAGGCTCTCTGGGAGAGCCTGTAACCCTCTGCAGCCTCAGGGACAGGGAGTGCCCTCCCCCAGGGAAGGCAAGGCAGGCCTGCAGGGGGCTGTACCTTGGAAATGAGTTCGTCGTGATTGGCCAAGTGGGCTCTGCAGTGAATGCAGCTGTAGGTCCTGTGACAGGAGGGCAGGTAGGCCTGGAAAGTCTTGGACCTTGTCATCTTCACCATTGGCGCCGCTGAGCGTGGGGTGAACTCCGGGGCAGCCCACGAGGCACTCCCACAGGACGGGTCGCAGGGGAAACAGCGGAAGACACAGGTAAAGGCCGTGGTTTGGCAGGGGGTGGGTGTGGGGCAGGCTCCACACACTGGCGACGTCTTCAGAGGAAGGACCCTCAAACAGAGGTCTCGGGCTGGTTCTCAGCAGCCTGCAGTGCCAAGATAAGGGGAATATCATTAGCTGATGGAGCTGGGCTTCCTGCAAAGCAAGTAGAGTCCAACTGCCACCAAGAGGGAAATGTTTATAGGACAAAACAACCCCCTTCTGTTTCTTGCATCTGTGTCAAGATGCCCCATGTAGGAGAAAGAAACCACTGGAGATCCCAGAACTGCTGCTTTTCTCGAGCTGGAGGCTCAGGGCTCTCAGCAGTCGCTAGGTACCCTCCACCGACATCCAGCAAACTGGCATGATCACATTTCTAGGGAGCCCCAGAAAAGGCCAGGCTTAAAGATGTGCAACCTTTAGCCCCTGGGAGAGGACTCCTAAGGGCCCCCTGTCCTGAGCTGACGAAGATAAATGGCTGGAGTAAATTTAAAAGGAGAAAGCCAGCCTCCAGAGTCACCACATCAACAGTCACACCTGGATTTCTCATCTACTTCCAGATGCCGGGAAGCCTCCGACACATGAACCCCCACCTGCAGAGACAATAAACCCTGCACTGCCCTTTGCTCATGGACTAAGCATGGGGTACAAAGGGTCAAGTTTCCAACCAGCAAGGTTCCTCATGGCTGGCCAGCTTTTTTGGGAGAAGTAAGTCCCTTTGCCATATCTTGCCCGGAAGTAGATGCTTAGTGCATTAAAAAAAAAAATTTAAAAAAATTCAAGTGAATAAATAAAACCAATGAAATAGACTCCTGCACCTAAAACTCACAATGACAGTGAATTTTACCAGAATCCCTCCTGAACCCTCAAACTTCGCATTACTCATCCCACAGTCCCAAATCTCTCTCCCACCAGAACCTCAGCTCATTTTTTCTATTGGGAACCAAGGACATTGAGACAGTGGGGTGGCTCCCAAGGTATGTCTAAGTAAAGGTCCGAGGGCCCCAGGGTCTAAGACTCACTCTGCCTTTCCAGGCTCACCCCCAAGGCTTCGGGACCCGCCTATTTCCCCTGAGCTTCACTGACGGGGATGGTGTTCCCACTTGCCTACCTCCAAGGAGAGCCAGAGCGTTAATTAACACTTGTGTCATGCTTTGAAGATAAAATTATTTAGAGACAGGGAGGAAGACAAACAAAACCAATCTTCCTTGCTGGATTATGTCTGGGATCCACCTGGATGTCTAGAGAAAGCCTGCAAATCGCAGTTCTCTTTTCTCTAAACCTCACTGGAATCCAATCTTCCGAAGGGGAGATGCCCTCCTCCCTGATTTCCTTCCCCCCACAGCAGTCACGGAAGGACACTAGACCCCTGGGGCTCCGTATTTGCGAGTGGTCAATACCACCCACCAGCACAAGACAGGTGGACAACAGTGGTCACTACCCTTTATCCTGAGTGTCCCTCGTGTACCCCTGAGCCAAGCAGGCTCCACATCCACAAGATGTCCAACTATTAAAAGAACTCAGACCTGTAGGGGCCCAGGCATAATGTCCTCCCTGCACCGTCTATTTTTAAAGGTGCAAAATCAGGTTAAACTGAACAGTATAAAAATTCCTGAAAATATAGAGGTGAGAACTGATTTACCCAGTGGCAGGCCTGGACATAACAGGAGATGAGGCAGGAAGATACATGGCCCTTGGATCCAGAGCCCCTTCATCTCCCCCTGGGCACACTCTGGGGGTGGGTAAAACCAGGGCCCATGGAGACCAATGCTGCTCTGTGCTGAAGTATCACAGGGGGTCGAAGAAGCCAAGTACCCGACTTGGGGTACTTGGTTTCCTGAAGTGCCCTTGAGCTTTCCAGTCCTCCTGTCCCACTCTCAGGAAGAACAGTATTCCCAGGAAAGGAAGGGGTGATGGGTCAGGGTAAGGAATAGGAAAGACAGGCAGGGGATGCGAGCAGGCGGCCTGCCCAAGGCCAGCGCTTCTGAAGGCCACGCTGCTGGCCCTGGCCTCAGCTGCCCAGTGGGGAGCGTGGGGAGTGTGGGGAGCGCTGGCCCCTTCGGTCTTAGACAAACACTGAGGGAACGACGGACGAAAAGGAAACAAAGAGCCCTGGCTGCCAGTCTGGGTTTATAGAGCAGCCACAGAGTCTGTTTTCTTACGCACGCAGCCGGCTTCTAAGTTATGCATTTCCCCAGAGTAGAATTATTTCTCCTCTCACTTCTCTTCTGCAGGAAACCCAAAAAAAAAAAAAAGTTCGTCGGCAGGGATTTCTGGTTTTGCTCGGCTTCAAATCTGAATCCCAAAACGTATCCAAAGCCACCTTCTGAGCAATAAGCATCTATACAGTCTGAGGTCAACGTATGTCCCATACCCCACCCCACCCCGCACGCCACAGCTCTGAGCTTGAGGAGACAAGGGGCGAACCAACCACACGGCAGCATCCCAGCCGCGGGCAGCAGGGCAAAGCCTGGGGAGCCCCGGCGGCGGGCACTGGGCTGTGCCGCTTCCCAGCCACCGGCTTGCTCTGTCACAGGAGGGCGCAGGCACCCGAAGGCTGACTCCTGCCCCAAGGAAGGAAAGGAAACGTGTCTTGATGAGCTATGAATCTTGTTCAACTGGCACAGGGCAAACCAGAAGGAA